TATTTCATTTAAATTTTAGGGACTTTTGTACAATATAAAAGTACATGCCAGTCCCATTCTACCCTAAAACAAATTACTACGTTACCTCACCAGTGAACAAATTGTCTTAGCCGCAATATCTGAATACGTAAGACATGAAATTCCTTTATTACATCATAAACACTATGCCTTATAGTAATTATATAGGTTTGTCGTTTCCTTTCTGTTCTTACCTTACAATAGAGAATGCCATATGACATTAAGCTCATCAAATTCTACAATTTTAAAAATGCAAACTTACTAATATTCTAAATGCGAATATTTGTACGGGTGGATGTTTGTTACTCTCTCACGCAAAAACTACTGGATGGATTTTGATGAAACTTTACAGTTATATAGCTTATACATCAGAATAACAAATAGGCTATGAATTTGTAAAACCGCGGGTAGAGCTAGTAAAAGAATAAAATAGTATAAAATGCAGATTATCGTAGCTATACTTTTAAGTAAATTTGCACATATTTGGGGAAATAAACTCATTATATCTATCTAAAGACGTAGACCCCTTTAGATATTATTCTAAAAGCACATATAAAACGAAACTCATTCATATTCTTAATCATAACTTATAGTTATCTTCATACACTTTAATTATACACATGCACACACATTCTTTCTTACAGATACACACACACACACACAAGTGACTAATAATATAAATAAATAGTATCTAATTCAGATCCTATTATAATATTTGTAATTCTTAAAGTTATTCTTAAAATTGTTCTATTAGTTTCATATATTGTGAAATTTATAATATTTGATTTGTACTTTTAAATTAATCCTTATTCTGTTTGCCACGTTCTGTTTTATTTTCTTTTGCTAATTCACTGAAAACCTGTTATTGGCTTTCTCTAGATATGTACTTTTGATTAATGTATTAGATTGTAAGCTGTTGGTTTTCTAATAAATAAATAAATAAATATCTACGTAATATTTCTCCTCACAGTACAATAGCAGACAAGAGTAATCTTCTTCCCAACGTACCTACACTTGCGCTCCCGCCGGGAGGGAGAAAGACCCCACCATCCCCCGCAATAGATACCAAAACCGCTGCCACACAGACAGAGAGAGCCCTCTCGGCCACTTTCCGCCCCTTGGGAATGGGGATTGTAGCCTTCCTATAACGGCGGTATAAATTGTCTAAATTGTACGAGATATTCGTAAACCACGCTTGTGGGATATGATGACAGCTTAGACAGATCCCAGTAGATAATTGATCACGTCAAACTTGTGGTGTTTTTAAAAAAACATTTCCACACTATGTATATAGTATGGGATGTAATGAATGAATGAATTTTAATGTAATCTATACGAATATTATAAAACTGAAGAGTTTTTTGTTTGTTTGTTTGAACGCGCTAATCTCGAGAACTACTAGTTCGAATTGAAAATTATTTTTGTGTTGTATAGGCCATTTGTCGAGGAAGGTTTTAAGCTATGTAAGATTACGCTACGTCCAATAGGAGCGGAGCTGCAATGAAAAATATTGTAAACAGCGGGCAAATGAAACACAGACGAAGTTGGGCGGGTCAGCTAATGTAATATAATGTAATGTACCTAACGAAATATGAACTCTATTGTGGGGTCGGTAACAATAAATATGTATGGACATGTAATGCGTAGGAACGAGGATAATATTTTAAGAAAGATGTTACAAATGAATGTGGATGGTTATAAGGGCAGAGGAAGGCCAAAAAAGAGATGGATGGACTGTGTGAAAGATGATATGGTAAGAAAGGAAGTAAATAACGCGATGACTGCGAACAGGGATGAATGGAAGCGAAAAACATATTACGTCGACCCCAAATAAATGGGATAAGGATGAAGCAGATGATGATGGTAACAATAAATATACAAATAAAATAGACCCTCAACTAATAATTAGTATATTGAAAAGAATATAGTATTACCACAGATAACATAATATTACATATTATCAATAGACGAGATTAAAGAAAATGTATATATGTAACAGAGCTGTATAAGGCGAGTGACGGATGACGTGAGAATATTTTATAGGTGAACTATGGAACGCATCTGTCTTGTCTGTTACCGGCTAGTCGGCAAGAAAAGAGGTAATGATGTGAAATGATTGTTATACAAATATATATACAGTACACCATACTGTTCTCCACAGCCTCATCTGGGCTGTTGTGCGTGTAGAGCAGAGACTACTAAACTAGCCAGCCAAGCCAACTACTAAGCCTAGAAGCACAGAAGCTTCCTGCTGTATCCATTGGCTTCACGGAGCAACTTCAACGCTCTGAGGATGTGATTGTTGTGTGACCACTACTACGCACTCAAGTATTACGTGAGCGGCCGTTTTTTCGACTTCAAATCATCCCCGATAAAGGAGACTGCTTGTAGCTAGTATGGAATGTACTGATGATGTAAGAATGATGTTCTGGGATGTACATGACGTCACGATTATTATCCTAGATAGGCTAGTCAAGAGGCATTGTCAACTGTCGATGTTGTGAAGAACGTATAGCTCGATGGGTATCACCTGTAGCGTTGTATATGATGTGATAAGGCGTTGCTTCATTTTTTCCTGTAGTATATAGTGTGTTAGGTATAATTGACCCAGTGCCATAGATAACATAGTATCAAATAGTACTACCTATTTTTCCTTTTGTAAAAGCACAAAACATTTTTGTTCTTTATGAATAGTTTTGTCTAAAGACAAAAGAATGGAATTCAACATCTGGCAACTTATAAAGTAGGTTCGTAACGTAATGTAGTTTAAAATGAAAAGTGCAAGTATAGTACTTTATTGCAATAATTGTTTTTTTTTTAATATGTAATTGAGTAGGTAATTTGACGGCTAAATAATATAATAATATACTTCTATAGTACATAGTATAAAACAAGGTCGATGTCCCTAGCTGTCCGACCCTATGTATGCTTAAATCGTTAAAACTAGGCAACCGTTTTTGATGCGGTTTTTTTGTAATAGATAGAGTGATTCAAGAGGAAGGTTTATATACATGTAGGTACTACATGTACACCCGTGCGAAGCCGGGGCGAGCTATATAGTATGTGTGTATTTTTATACCCCTAAAGTGTCTCTTATCTTATATATAATTCTTGGGTTGTCCACCCCGATTTTTATGAAGTTTTATAACATTTATTTTTATTTCTTGGACAACTTTTATTTTATTTTATTATGATTTGGCATTAAAAAATATCTACAACCTTAATTTTCAACCTTTTTCCATCAACCCCTATTTTTTAATAGCGATTTTAATTTATATGGCAAAACTACGTTTGCGGGGTCAGCTAGTAATCTATCAAATGATATATTTTAGACGAGCGTCATGATCTAGTGGTTTATTTACCCGACTTGGACAGGGACATTGAAGTTCACTTTTTTATTCCCCAGTACAAGCAATCCAGCATTCGGCCCATCTGACGGTAAACCCTTATCGTAGCGTATAGACGCCTGAAAGGAGTGTCAAGTGTGCGTTGTCGACCTTTATATACCCTTCTTGAAAAACCCTACGCTGTAAATCTCTAGAGAAAAATTCACAGGTTCATTCCATTATATAAGTGTGTAGGAGGAAACGAACAAAGAAATACTTTTTAAATTTAAAGTAATATTAGGATTTTGAGAAGGCACTTCGGTGATGGAAACATTGTTATGAAACCTAATTGTTGCAAATATAACTACAATAATGTTTTAAGTGTTTATTACTTATAAGAAAAAATGCAATTGAATATATAATATTTGACTTATCTGTTTTTCATGTTACTTAACGACATTTCGAATTTAGAATAAGCATACGTCACACTAATTAATCTTATATTCATTCATTTTAAAGTTTATGTGCAATAAACCAAATACTTATGTCAAAATCTCGTGTCATTAGTTTTTGTTATCTAACAACACCGAATCAGTTTAGCTATTTAATTATTATGATTTTTTTTAAATATATTTTGTGACTCTGAGAATAGGTCCCTATGTGATAAGGGTAGACCTATCCAGAAATCTAAAGATATAAAAATTAATCCCTATTTCTTGGTCACAGCATCAGGCGTGCACTGCTGGCCGATTTCGCTTATACTTTTTTGTTGTATTTGTTACTGTCTGGAGAAGATTCTTAGGATAAAAAGCAGAAAAACTACGGTCGTAGTTTTCTTTAATGTTTGCCTACTATGTACAAAGCTCAGAAGCAATATGAGACAAGATTTACATTCGTAGGTAAGACAGGACGTTTTTCGAGTCAGCTAGTCATTTATGGTATAAGATATTATATAATAGATACAATATATTTAAGTTTAACATACATAATTACCGTATTGTGAAGTTCCATGTTTATATTTCCATGCCATTTTAGGGCATCACAAAAAAATCTAACAACTTTACTACACTGCATACATGTTCTTTACTACTTTTGTAATACTAGAGATATACATCACTAGTATCACAAAATGTAAAAACTCGAATTGTGATGAATTTGAGTTAACTCGAGTAGAATTCAACTGGTAAATTAACGAATTGAATGAATAAACGAAAGAGCGAGAGCGTAATTCAGTCGTTGGGTTCCTATCTTAGCAGGTACTACCGCTATTGCATCAACTGAATGTAACCGACAATGACATGAAGTTTTTCGATCATATTATGTCATACCACATATTTTCACTCGTCACAAATGTTTAAATATAGGTTTGGGATTATTTGTTGTCGTATGTTTGTTATTTTAAGTACCTAGTATATTTTATAAATACCGGAACTTCCTGGTTTGGGATATTTTTGAATCGCCTGTGAGTGGACGTTTAAAATGGTCTATATAGTTCGAAAAATTAAACAAAATCTTCTTCCAGGAGTTACCTGGAAGATTTGTTTAATTTTTCGAGTTCGAGAGTTAACTCGAGTCATTGTTTATTTCGAGTTAGCACATCTCTATGAAGATTTGCGAAAAGGCTCAATAAAACGACAAATTAAAATAAATCTTTAATCATACAATATTTAAACCTAATTTTTCAATATAGAAACATTCATAGTCTTTATAAATTCTATCTTTACACTTTCTGTTTGACGAAATGTATTCTTTCATACAGTTGTCGGACCAAAATTTCAAGTTTTCTTGTCCCAATTCGAGGGTTTTGTTGATTTTCTGTAAACTGAGTATATTCTCGTTGAGTCGCTTTTTTATTTTGTCCATGATCTGTTCTTCCTCTTCAATCCTTGACGAAATATCTATAGAAAAAAAAATACATAAAAAATATTTCCAAGTGTATAACTAGTAATACAAAAGGAATAAAAAAGAATAAAGTGTATAACTTGGTGTATATTTTGGCGGGATATCCAGTGTTCGTTTTAAACTGTTTTTTTTTTATTAGTATAGATACTTAATTACTTAGATATGGTAATATTACTTATCTTAAGTACCACAGGATCGTCGTAGAAATACAACTTTTTTTATAGAGGCACAAGACAAAATTTTAAATTACTTGGTCGTATACAACATAATGTAATGTAGCTTTTATATTAGCGTCAACCATCTTATAAAACCTATTTTAAGTATTGAACTGTTGTATTTAACCGTCCTTTTCTTTCCAGCAGTTTTCTTCCATTTGAAAGAAAGAGAATAGAAATCATTTATTCAAATGAACTTAATTTAAGAACTTTTGAATTGTCATAACATTTTCTTTATCTCGCTCGTTCGGAAAGCTGTCTCCTCACAAGAAGAACGAGCAAGAAACTTGTGTGTTGCGCCTTTAAATAAACATTTACGAGAGGAATCACTCCAAAAATTAACAACCACATACGGTTTCGATGGACTATCGGTATCTATCGGTATATCACATCGCCGTCCTTCCGATGGTCGTGGTTTCAATTTCTCACACAGTACAACATTTTTATGCATAAGTATGATTGTTTATATTGATTTGAAAACAGATGGCGCTGTGTAAACGATCCTGTGTTATTATTATTTGTAGGCTCCAGATTTTAGAAATGAGGTTATTTATAATATAATTATATTTTACTGCATACCTATATCACTTCCGAATTTCTGTTCGTCTTTTATACCACGAAGAGTTAACTCCAAGACTCCTCTTGTCTGTACGGCGTCAATAAGCCGCCGTATGTTACAAGCTAGCGTGACAGACGGACAGAGAAGGGGACAGGCGATTTCGTTGTCTTGCCACTTTGTGCGTAACCGGCTTATAGCGGCTTCGAGGCTCTCAAAGATCCAGATCTTCTCACCACTGTGAAAAATAAAAACATTATATTTTGTTATTCCTGTTACATGTCCAGACATTCGCACACACAACCATCTTTAAAAGAGCTGACGATAAGAACTTGAGACGAAGCCCACGCTGTGAGAAATAACGAATATGATGACAATATAGTAGCTTAATAGTTTTAATTGGAATCAAAAAGTTCTATAATTTTTTAGAAAAACATTCAAATGGACGTATTGGTATGGAAAATATTTTGCACATTTTACAGATATATAAATAAAATAAAATGGCTTTTTATTATAATAAAATAAAATCAGCTAGCACAGTGTACTAGTGAGTATAAAATAATAATAATGTTGTAATTGCTTTACCTTTCTAACACAAGTTTTCTATTCTTCTCCAAACTGAACTTCTTCATATAAATCCTCAGCTCGTCCGTAAACGTCGGGTTATTATCTAGTAATTTAAAAAATAATAATATCTGTTAGAAAACAAGCTCTTTGTAACCATCATTTTATAAATTACTAGCTGAAACGAATTTAAATTTGTAAGGCAACATAGTCTTATAAATTAAATTCGTTATTAAAAAAATAGGGGTTGATGTTAGAAGAATGAAAATTTGAAGTTATAAGTATTTTAAAATGCTAAAAAAAGTCCAAAAATAAAAAATATATATTAGGGGGTGGATAACCCCTAACCACTTAGGGTTATGAAAAATAGATAGTAGCCGATCATCAGACCTACTGCATATAAAATCGGTGAAATCGGTTCAGGGAAGTATGGTAACTAACATTGTGAGACGAAAATTTTATATATAAGTATGAATGTATTAGATTTATATTTTATATTATTTATACATAAATACATACATATTTAAAACAAATACAAATCAACAATGAATAGTGTCTTGTCTCACCTGTACTCAGTGTGAAGGAACAATTATCCGACACGTCCAAATTTAGACTCAGCTCCAACTTGTTTCTAGACCGCTCGCGTTTCGCTTCGTAAAACTGTCGGATAGTGGCTATGGAGTCTTGAGGAAAGTCGAGCAAGTCTGAAGAGAAATCGACAACAATAAATGATCTATACAACACTATTCTTTTATTAATTAGTTATAATATTAGGTATCTAATGTCTTAAATATTTAAAAAAACACATGACAATGTATATGGAAGAGCGGTATGTACCTGACATCCCAACACTGTGTTATTGTAACCAAATTGATTTTTAAAGAAATACCTGACATTTTACACTGCAGCTCGGCTTCTATTAGTCGTAGTGTGATGTTATATTGTCTATCGCCTTCTACGATAAATGGTCTATCCAAAACTAAAAGAATTTTAAAAATCGGTACAGTAGATCAGTTTAGTAATCCCCTCAAACTTTACCACTTTATAATATTAGTATAGACGACTAGTTACTTTTAAACTTTCGTTTAATATACATTATTTAAATTATTAAGCGGGTCTTAACACGAATATTTTATGGCAGATAAAGTTATTTACCTCTCTCGACGTTTCACCAGCCGTGGTCACGGCTAGTGAAACCTAGTCGGTTAATAATTTAAAGACGAATTATTACCCGCGACTTTAACTAGAATTTAACTTTTTTATTATTAACCTAAGTTCTCTAAGTTACCCATTCGTTATCTGCGAGTGAAATCCTGTCAAATCGTTACAGCCATTACTAAGATTAGCAAGTACAAACATGTTTGTATGACAGACAACATTTTTAAGCAACTTTGCAGGTTGTCGGCTTTTCTTTAATTAAACAATATTTTAAATTAATAAACATATAGGTACTTACTTTTGTACCTGTCATTTTCACCAGCCTGCACATCTTTATGGAATCCACTAAAAACGTTATGAAGGCAATCTTTAATGTTGAATATCTTTTTCTCTGTGATGGACAATGCTGTTAGCACCCTCCTTAATTCTTCTCTCTTGCTTTCCTGAAATTGTACCAAAAATAATATTTTTTTTTCTAAATCACGCACCGACACAAACATATACACTATCACACATTCAGTCTGTCCGTTTGTTGCGGACTAAGTCGCGGGAACGGCTAATAAATAAATATATAAGATATTATTTCAGTTATACTCACAATAGCTCTATCAACTGCTGGAATGAGGCGGTCCGCAGGAGCGGCGGCAGGTCCAGGTGCTGGAACGGCGTCTCCGAACTCCTCGTGGCGGGAGACGAGGCGGCCTAGGAGAGACGTAAGGGCGGCGGCACGGGCTGCCATGTACACACGCTCGCACCGCACTACTGCCAGTTCATGTTCTTCGGCGCTCAATAGACAATTCTAGAATTTACATTATATAATAATAATAACAACAATATAGGTACTTGGACAATACACGGTGCCCACTAGTTCCAAACTAAGAAGACCTTATGGTATGGGTAGACAACTGACAGAAATACGTGGAATTTTCTTGTAAATACATACAAATAATAATCTCAGGACAATTCACACAGCATCATTTAGACCCAAGTTAAGCTAGCTAAAGATTGTGTTATGGGCACTAGATAACTGATACAAATACGTAGATATATATGTAATAATATACACAGAAGAACAAGCAGAAAACTTGCGTGTTGCACTTTTAAATAGCTGTTATAACTTTACAATTTGTAATGTGGGGATACAAACTACCAACTAGCACTTTCATTAACTTATTAATAATTTAAAAGCTACGCTCTTGCCGGTGGAGCTCTTGCCACTTTAATATTAACTAATGTTGCCACTTTACCTCGCACTTTATATATAATATTATATGTATAAAATATACACTTACGTTAAGATCAGTAATGGCGTCGACGAAACGTTTTTGCGTTTGCTCAACGTGTATACGGTTTTTCATCGTTTCAATGCCGAGTGTACAATGGAGGGCTGCTGTGTGGGCCAACACCGATTGTGGATTGGTTCTACCGAGGAAATTATGTCATAAGTTTTCTTCAATCCTTTATTCAAATAAACTTAATTTAAGCACTTTTGAATAGTCATCATTTTTTGTTTTAATCTACTGCTCATTCGGAATACCGCACATGCATAAAACGAATTACTAACTTTAGTCAAACATATTGGTGTAAATGTTGTAGTTTCACTTACCCGGGAATACGGGAACTGTGTACATGTGGTGTGGCAGTAGCGAGCGCGGAGGCCAGTGTTGCACGTCTCTCGCACAATTGACGCCATAAGGCGTCGCCGCGACATTTCACTAGTGAGGAAACTTGCTCTTCCACAACTATATAAACAGTATTTATATTTATTTACATATAAAAAAAACATTAAATGCGACGAGGAGAACAAAGACTGTTTTAGTTAGTGTATCTTTTGGAAATAGACATTTAGCTAATAGACATAAGATTAAAATTATATATTTCAATATTCTATCTATTTCGTAAAAGTCTACAATAGTTTAAACTAAAAAAAATTGCAGCGCTACAAAAGTTACATCTTATATATAAAATTCTCGTGTCACAGTTTTCGTTCCCATACTTCTCCGAAACGGCTTGCCCGATTCTCATAAAATTTTGTGAGCGTATTGAGTAGGTCTGAGAATCGGCCAACATCTATTTTTCATCCCCCTAAATGTTAGGGGTAGTCCTCCCCTAATTTTTTTTATTTTAAAGCAATACAACGTTTGCCGGGACAGCTAGTATTCTATAAAAACGTACAAATAGTACACAGTGAAGTGACATATTATATAATTTTGTATTTATAGTTTTGAAAAAATTTTATGAATATAGGTTTGAAATTCTTAGTTAGGTTTTTTATGCCTAAAAAATATATTGGATTCCATGGAAAAAATGTATTTACCAGCGTCAGTGTGGTCACCCTGGGCAGACATAATGGAGGAGCATGCAACCGGGTTCGCGGTGGACAGCAGCGAGCATGACGACGCTGGCGGATGAACTGCACCTTGACTCATCAGTGATATACACTTCTCCAGTTTCTCCTGGTAAGACGAACAGAATCATTTGCAGGTTGAATATAAAATTAACTTTAATTGTAAAGAAGATAACGGCCCATCTAATGGTATAGTAATAATCATTGCCTATTTATATAAAAAAGTATAATAATAAAAATAATATCTCAGAATAATTCACAGTGTCATCTGATCCCAGCCAAACTAAGCAGAGCTTATGTTATGGGTACTAGACAATGGATTCAAATACATACATTTTTTATGTAAATACATAATATACATAGAAAACAACCATAGTCATGAATACAAATGTTTGTACCATGCGAGGAAACGAACCAGCGACCAATGATGGAAGTATTCTGGAAATAATAGTACTGTAACTAAATATTTACGTACCGATACAATCTCTTCTTCATCAAATGAGCATAATGAGTTTGCTATTATTTTCGTCTCCTGTAGATTGGTCTTTTTAGCTTTCAACTCCTGAGCAACTTGCTGCAGCAACCACACCCGCCGTTGCAGGTTTTGAATACGACAAACACAGAGGTTGCGTTCTGTCACTACATCAAAATTTAATCCTTAATGGTTTAAAGTCTATACATAGATTGAAGAGTGTATAAATGATAATAATATTTTTGTAGACAAATTCTACCTCAAAATTCATAGCACTGACAATATTATCTAATTGCACAGATTGATTGCATAGATATGTTGATTATCCCATGCCATATCCTTGTTCATGTTTCTATACTTAGAACAACATTTATTTAAAAAAAGCAACATACAAGTTTCGTGCTCATTCTTCATGTGATGAGCCTGCATTCCGAATGAGTGGTATAATAAAATAAATGTGACTATTCAAAAGTGCTTGTGTAAAACTATGGACCAGAATCACCCAAGACAGAACAGAGTGGAAAAGATTAGAGGAGGCCTTTGTTTGGATGGAGCAGATGACCAAGAACTACTATATAGTATGAACAACAAAAAAAATGTCTGAATTAAGGGCTATAATAATTATATTTACATAATATAAATCAAAATCACTGTCGCTGTCTGTACATCCCTGTGTATGCTTAAATCTATAAAATTATGCAATGGATTTTGATGTGGGTTTTTTTATAGATAGAGTAATTCAAGAGGAAGGATTATATGTATATAATACATGTACACCTGGGGAAAGCCGAACGAATAGCCAGTAAATAATCAATTTAAAAGTCTTATATTGTTTCTACTGTGCATAAGACAATGTTGCTCACCTGTATTCTTACATAAACTAAGAATCTGAGATAAATACTTTTATGTGTGGGGACACAGAAACAGAAGGGATGTAAACTATATTTTCTTCTATTGCCTACTAAATTAAGGAATAAATTCCGAGCTGGATACTTACTCTTCATTGTTGTTTTATCAGTATGCAGTTTAAGATTTTCTCTTGCCTCTGCATTTTTAACTTCGGCTGATTGCACTTTTTCCTTCAGCTCTGCTTGTTTATGCCAAAGGAGAAGCTCTTCAGGCATCACCACACTTGTGTCATACTGTAATATAAACAGTTTTAAAATTATGTCAGTCATGTACTATTAAATAAATATGATATTTACCATAATGATATTATTTAAGAGACCATATTATTATAAATGATGGTCAGGGATGGACTAGGATATCTATGAAAGGACCTCTTATGGGGAAAAGGGGATTGTTACTAATGTGGACATATGACCTTATTGCTACCACATCAGATTGACCTCCACGCAGTTCCCCTGGAAACCATAATAAATTCTTGATGATGTCCCAATGGGCTAACTGACCTGAACTCATGCTCATCTTATCATCCTCCACTGCCCCAGCAGCTTAAACCTAGCTTAAAGCAAAGGTGAGTGCACCATTCCATTATCATCAATAAAAAAAAAACAGGACCACTTAATAAATATAACAATTATTATAAATTAACTCAGACAAAATGGTTTACTATTCAGTAGGGACAGCAAGTTAACATTCTAATTATTCTAAATTCGAAAATTCAAAATTCTTTATTGTTGTTGAAGTTTTATAATTATGTTTAAAAAGGTATCACCTCATTAAAAGGACTCTTCTTGCGCCACCTCTCTACATCATTACAGAACACTTGCAACCTCTTTTCTTTGATGCTATTCTTAGGTTGGACATGCTCCATTAAACTTCTCCACACAACATAATACTGGCCCCTGCACATTCTGTAATTAAATGTAATAATGGTTTTAGCAAAAGCTTTACAATAGTACACTAATAGGGGTGGAAGGGCATTGGGCATAATAATGTTGTGTAACAACCACTAGGTCAGATTAATATACCCCCTGGAAACCATCATGATAAATTCCTGGTGAAGTTGTCACTACGAGATAGCCGACCTGACCTTATATTCATTTCATCATTCTCCATTATTCCTTGCTAGCATAATCTGTTACTGCAGGCGGGTGCACTGTTCCAGCACCATATCATCCATTAAAACAAAAATAAGCAGCTTAAGGGGAAAACGATTGATAATATTATTACATATAGAACAGTACAAAACAAATATGAATTATGGAATAAACAATTCTTTACTAAGGGTATTTAAATTAAGGTAACATATTGAATACCGTCAAATGCCTGTCTGACAATGTAACGACATATAATGTAATATTCATTATTTAATATTATCTAATATTATAAGGATTAGTAAGATATTTATACATACTCCGCAACTTTTTCAACTGATGGCACAGTATTCGGCGGGCAACCCATATTTAGTAACCATTCTGAAAATTTCATTGGCACTTCATCACAGCTTAATATCTCAGTATTCATTCTAGCATTTAGTTTTATAGTTTTATTAGAAACGAAGACTCAGTAGAAGGTAGAAGACAAAAACTAAGGAAACGAAATCAAACAAACAAAACGGAGAATTTCAAATTCAAATTTGATTGACATGAACATCATTTTACACTGACATTGGATATGGCTGGCACAGATCAGAAAGATTACTTAATTGCCAATAAGACTTCATATGAAGAAAATTATTTTACAATTTTAAGAACTTTTACATTATCAAATATTGCTTTAATGATTATAATCGTATAATGTAACATTATTGAGTTGATGAAATAACAAAGCCTCCTACTGAGTACCACTGTTTTCTTAATGTCATTAATTTAAAATTTTAAAAGTACTTAAATTGACTAATTCATATAGCTTTGTTGATAATGTTGTTATATGGTAATATTGGACTATATAATCTCCGTCTAAAGGAAATAATTATAATTCAGTAAATTAAAGTGGCGCCATCTATCAGTAAGAATTGATAACTAATGACAGTTTGTATTACACATCACAGAGTACTTATTAGTTTTATTTTTTTACGGACTGTGTTTTTAGTTCTATGTTAAATTAAAAATATTTATATCAACTTTTTTTGTTTCTTTTGTTATCATGCTAGGAAATCTAAAAGAATTCATATCTGTTGTACAAGATGGTTTAGGTGTAAACAGCAATATACGACAAACTCTACAGGAGGTGCAGAAGGTAAAGAATATATTTAGAGATAAACAAAAAGTGAACAGTGAAGCGAAAGTGAACTATGGTGCTGGCGGTGCGCTGCTTGAAAAATATCAGGAACAGTGGGTTGAACTACATCAGAACGCAGACGACAACGCCAAAGCCGCAGATGAAGTAGATAGAATAATTCTAGAATTACACGAAAGTACAAAAACTAAGTTACAAAATGCCCAGGCATTGAGTCAGGGGTTAATGCATATACCCGCGTTAACAGCCGCTGTTGCACAGTGTATGGATAGTTTGAAGAATGTTCAGACTTTATTGAAAACTGTAGAGGAAGATTTAGTGGAATTTGAGGATATTGCTGAAAGGAGAGCTATGGAAAAGTGGAAGTTAGACCATCACTACCATCTTACACTGTATCAGGAAAAGAAAATGGGCAAGTACACTGTAATTAAAAATTAACTACTGTTATTATTGTTTTGCTTTATTATAAGATTTATTATTGTTTTTCTTTATTAATCCTGATTAAGCTATATTATTGTAGTTTCATTAAAGTAAGCTTTATATATTATATAGATGTTGAGTAGTTTTTCTGTGAAAGAGTAATAAACATCTATCCATCCATGTATACATCCATACTCGCAAACTTTTATGTTTATAATTCTAAAATAACAGCAGCAACCTATTAACTTCCTACTTATAATCAAGAATCAAAGCTCTATATTTACCAGATTTAATGTATTAATATTATTTAATCATGACTTTTTCAGCTGCCCTTGAAGATATACGTAGTAAACTAGCTAAAAGTAATACAGAACAAACTTTTGAGAAGGAGCGTAGAGAACTGGCCGAATTGCAAACTCGGAGAGAAAATAGTTCCCAGGCATTTCAGAATGACATGGCCAGATACTTAAATAGTGGTGTGGTACCAGCAGGTAGGCAATAATATTATAATTACATCTAAATTATAATCTTATATGTAAAATTCTCATGTCATGTTTGTTACTATACTCCTCTGAAAGTTTTTATGAAATTTTATGTACATATTCAGTAGGTGTGAGCTACTGTATATTTTTCATACCCCTAATTGATAAGAGTTGTCCACCTCTAACATATTTTTTTATTTACTGGACAAAATATTTCTTTAATTTTTCTTCTTCTACGATCATTCCTTATTTTTTATATGGTAAAACAATGTTTGCGGGATCAGCTAGTATTATTGTAAAACTAGGGCATCAACATTGTTGGACTTTTAATCACATTTGGATAAGATAGCCCAGTATGATTGTGAAGAGAGAGTAACAAACCTCTTAGTATTCCATGGATTCACCATTAGGGTGCCAAGCATTTCCCGGGACTTGTGACCCGGGTGTAGGTTTAAGGGGCTCCTTTGTCGACATATGTCAACAATCATCTTCACCGCTTATGTTTCTTTTTCGAATTTTTAGCAATGTTGTAATATATTAATAAGCCAGCCGATGGGTTTAAATACTTATAAAATAATTTCACTCGTTCCCAGGGGCACCATCATCACCTAAAATAACATTGGAACAAGTGGAGTTGGATGATGACGGCTCTGATTTGGAGAAGTTTCTAGATAAATTACCACATTAATATGGCTGGGTTTGGAACATTCCGAGTTTGTATATTTAATGATATTAATGATAAGAATTTTATTTACTGTTTTCAATGTTAAATGTAATTTTCTTGATACATATTTTATTTTAAAAGGGTTTTTCCTTTATTCAACCTTTTCGACTACTATAAAGATATTTATGCCGATTTTTAGATAGATTTTCAGAATAACAAACGAGCTGATATAATTTTTCTAAAAGCATACATTTTTCAATTAATATACAAAACGCGTATTCTACATTTAAAAATTTTTTTATGTATTTGATGATTTCGGTGGCTTTGTATACACTTTACTTCATATTGTTCCGGATTCTGTTTCTCGCAGCATGGAAACATTCATGATCATCTATTAATTAACCTAGCTGTTTACTGTGTGTATTATATATATATATATATATTGTATTTTTGTAATTGTAATATAGTGTAATTTTTGTAAATGCGCTAAAGTTATATCTTGTCGGAATGAAGAAATTTTCAACAACATTTCTACTGTTACAAAGAAGCCACAAATAACAGCCTGAAGTTAGAAAAATCATATAAAATTTATTTTTTTCTTTGCTAGAATTTATGTTTGTAATATACTTTTTTTTTAACTGAAATAATATTTCTTAATAGATATTTCCATTAATAAGTTCAAAAATACAAATATATTATATACAAAGCATTTATGACTAGTAAAATGAGCACATTGCTAAAACAGCTTTATCACAAGCCACAGTTCGGTACACCGCTTGTCACACCACTCACTTCACCACCGTTCTCACTGTCTTTTCACCACAATAATTATATCAAAAAAAACAAATTTCGACCACTAAAAGTTGACGATCGCAAAAAAATGCTCAAAAAATAAACGTTACAATAATTTACTTGACAACACCAGGTTCGATTTGTCTATACGCATTCCTTAATTTCGATCCACAACTTTCAGTGGCAAAGCAGAACATATCATTAGTTCTTTTGTTGTTTATGTCTTCCTCATGATTGGATGCAAATCGCCCCCACCGTGAGCAGACATCTTAACTTTACCAGAGACATGACGTCTTATACAGGGCCTTGCGTCTTTAATGGATCCGCTACCATCTTCAATTTCTTCATCAGATGAACAATCCGACACACATGAGGTTAAATGCCGTTTTTTTGGCGGTACAACATGAAGGGTCCAACGTAAAGGACCTTTATGGCCTTTCAATTTAACTTCCTTGGCTTCATAGTCAGTGTCAGAAGCTGCTCTCTGCTCACTCTTCAATGTCCGCTTTGGTCTATGTGTTTGCTCCTTTTTTTCCCCCCTCGGGGGGGTGTGGAAGTTTTTTAAACTGACATTGGTATGTGATTTCGTATTGAGATCTGGAAAATTTTGGGAGTAAATTACAACACTATCGACTTTTTCTTTCTGAAATTTTGCCGCTTGTCTTTTTATCTTTGGATCGTCCGACACCGATGGAGAGATCGACGTGCGTTTCTCAGCAGAATTGCCACTACTACAACTGGTGTTACTATTGCTGGTACTATATTGTTCAACTGCTTGCTTCTCTAGTTCACGAAATTTGGTGTCTATACTCTCGTCCGAGGCTTTATATTGCTCTAAAGCCTCTTTTTCTAGCTCTTCAAATTTATTATCAACTACATTCACAGAACGCATTCTTGTTGTAGGTAGAACAATCTTAGGGTTCAGTTTTATTAGGCCTGGCGTAACTAATTTCTGTTTTAACCTGACGCATCCTACTGGTGTTAAAATCGGTGTTGGTGCACACATACTGAGAACAGTGCTGTACAGGCGCTTTTTCCTCAAACCAGTTTCCATAGCTGCACTACTTGTTGATGCTTCTTGGCTATCAGTATTTACATCAGTAGTTACATCTGATGGTTTCTGTTCTGCCTTCTCTGCTTCTAGAGCTTCAACTGTTGGTGTAGGTTCAACGCTTTGATCTTCTGCATCAGGTTCTACGCTTTCTTGTTCAATTTTTGGTGTCATTTTTGGGGGTTCGTTACATAGTTCGTTTGTGAGTTGGAAGGTATGATTAAGTCTTGGCGATGGGTCCTTTGGCCACCAGATGCCGCATCGCCTGTCGGGGCAACGCGCTGGTCTTTGGCCAGTGGGCGCGTATCTGCTCACATTAGTTCCACGGTAAGGGGGGCATCGTGCTGCCGACGCTCTCATAGCCACTTGAACACTGGCTGATATCCTTCCCATTGTACGCTGACATTCCACCACGTTCAAATGTGGCGGGCGCGGCGAATCGAACTGAAACTATATAAATAATCGTTACATAAGGAGTTCAATGAGACTATAAAGGTATTCTCAATATTAGCAGAACTTTTTCAAATTATTCAATACCAGTGAATACCGATTACACACGAATAAAATTATTGTTGGCAGTGTCGCATTCTACAGAGAATATTGCCACTACAGTTATTGTAGCCTAATGTTGCTATCTATAGAAGAAGTCTATTGTTAAAGCATTTATGTATTTTTGAACTTATCCCTCCAACAAAACATCAAGGCTTAAAATTTATAATGAAATTTTAAGAACAGTACAAAAATGCTTCTTTAGATACATCTGTCCCAACTTTTGCTACCAAGCAGCTTGCTTTGTAAGTTTTGCTTCAGTTTGAAAAATGAAGCAGCAGTGAAGTTTTCGGAAATATATACGCATGAAAAGTGCCACGGTCGTCATATTAAATTCAATTATATAAAAAAGTACCTTGCACGTGGGATCACAGAAGAGCTGCGCAGGCACTTCTAAACAGTAGGCTGGTGGGGGTGGGGCCAACGCTGCAAGTCTTCTGGGTTGACGTCGGCGAGCACGTATCTTTCGGGGCACAGGTGGTGGACTGGGGGCTCGTGGGGGTCGTACGGGAACCGGCTGGGCCCACAGGCCTCGAACGCTGTGCACTCTGGCAGCTAAAGCCGACTCTTCGCCCGCAGCTCGCAACCCGGCCGGTCCCAAGCGCTCGCTAGCTGCCAATGGGTGCCATTTAATTCTATACTCATATAACGCAAATTTGATATAGACTTTATACAAAGTTGTCTGCGTCCTTTTGTTACTTACATAGAATATAAATACAATATTTACTTTACAAAAGAGGGCCATTCGCTCCATTTATGGTATGGGTTCCAGGGAGTCATTGCGAGAGTGTTTTAAGGAATCAAATATCCTCACCGTTGCTTATCAATACATTTATGAAAATATCATCTATGCCAGAAGGAATATAGACAGTTTCAAAAGAGTTAGTGATTGCACTAATAAAAGCTTACGTAACAATAACAAACTGATTTTACCTAAATGTCGTTTGGCTAAAGTTAGTAATTCGTTTTAAACGTTTTACAATAAAATACCAGAGTCTGTTATAAATGTGCCAGAAAAAAGATTTAAATGTCAAATAAAACAGTTCCTTTGCAAAAAAAGAATTCGTTAACGATAATAATGTTTTTATAGAAAAACTTTAAATCTATAGCACTGACAATATTATCTGATTACATTAATAAAGCATGCCTCTTACTTGTTATACTGTAATTATTTATATAAAAAAAAAACATCTATTAAAAAGAGCAACACACAAGTTTCTTGCTCATTCTTCTTGTGATGAATCTGCATTCCGAATGAGTGGTAGAATCAAAATATGACTATTCAAAAGTGCTTGTAATGAGTTTATTTGAATAAAGATTATTTTTATTTCTTTATTTATTATTATTAGAATAAATACATAAATGCGAAAAATAACTTTGTCTTTCTGTCGAGCTTACGGTAAAACTATGACATAGGCTACTTTTTAATACGAAAACGGACTTGAAGGAAGTATCGTAATTTTTAAAGCTAGAAGCTTTAAACTTATATTTTAGGCTGTTGATTAAATATAAATAAATAGGACATTCAAAGGTTGTAAAAAAATTACCCTTTAGGATATAAATTAAAATAGGGGATGATAGTTTATATGTAAATTCGTCATTTATGGAACTATAATGATGTCACTGTTTTAATTGGCTTTTTATAATTAACCTAAATAATTGAATATTCTATCCAAGGTCTTTTTCGGTCCGCGCGGGCACAGCTAATGAATCTCTGAATGCAATATGTAATAGAGATATACGCACAAATCGTCATCTGGCAGCATCCTGTACTGTCTTCGTCGACGCGGAACTACGCTTCGATCCGAGGAGTCGTCTACCAATTTGCGGAACCAATATTCCACCTACACAGACCATAGTGTAACAGTAGGAAAAATATATATATATAACTACAGAGACTTACAAATATTTTTGTTTATGGTTGATGATGGTATGGTGCTCCCTTTTGCATTAACGGTATACACTGGTGGAGTATTAGTGGGAGATACAGGATCGGTAGATTGAACATGATGTTGGTTCAGTTAGCCTATCAAGATGGATTATTTACCAGGAATTAATCCCAATAATTTCTAAATCACCAGGAGCTAATCCTGGATTCCTCCCAATAGTTTCCAAACAGAGCACGCGAGGAGCTATAGACTGATAAAAATGAACTGAAGGTAGATCAGGTTTCCAGGGGTGTCCACATAACATAAGTTATGTGGACACGCGTATCCAAACCTGATCTGACTTCATTTCATTTTTAATAATAATTAGTTAATAATCCCAGTCAACATACATTACAAAAACTATATACATTACGCCTGTTTATGTAAGAACAAAGAACGGAGAAGGATACCTCAGGCAGCATCCAACATTCTGTAAGATCAGAATTTTCGCAGCCTTGTCCGTTATATCCGCGCCCACTCGATCTCTCATTCGCGTTTATATAACATTTTTCCCTGAAATAAAAAACATTTTTTTTATACCATTGGAATGGCAAACCATGGCTGCCAATCTAACGGGAAATACGAATACATAACCATCGCCTATATAAACAAAAATAAAGTTATCTAAAACTGGCTGTTACCCGTGACTTCTTCTAATTTTAATAAGATTGGTTAAGATTAATAACCGTTGATTAGTCCCGAGAAGGTAACAGACAGTCATTCTGTATTAGTATGATTTTAATCTAAAGAGTATAAATAAACCAGAACAATGGACACAGCATCATCTAGTCCCAAGCTAACGTACTAGACAACTGATAATTTCTGTTAGACGACTAGTAAGTAAGCTTAGGTATATACATTTTTTTTGTAAATACATCTATAATATTTATAGAAAATACTTTTTGTTCGTATCGGTCTGGGTGTCATCAGACTCATGAATACAAATGTTCATATCGTGCAAGGAATTAAACCCGTGCCTATCTATCATACGGCGGTGTGCTGAACCGCTCGACCACCAAAGCCAAAAATATTCGTTTCCTACAAGATATATTGATATCATATATTGATTTATTGGATTAGTAATAATCTTTGATGGATAACCTGGATTCGTCGTAATAGAAATTTCCATAAAACTGCGCTAGTCTCGACTCGGGAATCACGTCCTTCACGCTCCGTCGGCCGCTACAGCCTCCATTTTCTGGACTTTGATTTGAAATAGCTCGTTTGTCTGCAATTATTTATTACCTGAAGCCGCGATTTCGTATCCGTGTAACTGTTTTGTTTGCAAACCAATTGGAATAAAACAAATACTATTTATCTATACATAGTACCTATAAAACAAAGACACCGCCTTTCTGTTCTATATCTTTTAAATGACGCAACGGATTTTAATGTAGTTTTCAAGAGGAAGGTTTATATGTATAAAAGGTACACGCGTCTTATAGTATAGAACGAACCATTTGTAACGCATCTGTGCAAAGCCAGGTCGCTAGTACTTATGTGTACAATATATACAAAATTTTAACTGAAAATTGCCACAATACATAATCAAATACTGATTTACTGTTATTTAGTTACTCAATCAGCTGGTTGTTTTTATTATTTTGACTAAAATAAATTAGTGCTAGTTGCTAGTTTGTATTCACACATTTAAACTTAAAAATATACAGATACAACTAAATTATTTAAAAGTACTATACACAAATTCTTAATCCTTCCCCTTGTGCACTTATGGGAAAGAATTCCAAATGAGCGGTAGATTAAAAAAAGAGAAATGAAATAATCCAAAAGTGTTTAAATTTAAGTTTAATTGAATAAAGAATTCTCTTTAATATTCTATTCTATTGCCAACTTTATACGTTTTTTTTATTAATTGGTATTTCTTGTTAATTTGTTAATGTTGGCATCTGTAGGTATATCTTATAGCCAATTTATAATATGTCTTATTTTCTTTTTAATGGGTAAATTAATATTATTATTAGGAGTATTAATACTTGGGTATAAAAATTAGTTAAGGAATTCGTGAAAATATTATACCCAGAAACTAGAAACACTAACCTATTATTTCAATTTGATTATTTGCTTGAACACTCTGAGACTCTAGCGATGTCTCCTGCAAAACTTGAGAAACTCGACAATGTTGTGTCCAGAGACGCTGCAAAAATATACTTTTGTTTTTTTTTGTAATTGTGTTGGGAGACAAGCTGATGGCCCACTTGATGCTAAAGTGATAACCGTCGCTGACTGTCTGGTCATCTCCATCCCCTAGGGAGGTGAAAGTTGGGGCTTCGGGGCGAACCCCTTTGCCCCGGCATCATCTCCGGTGACAACAATCTCCGGGTTAAAGCCTCTAGGGCGAGTATAAATAGATTGATGATCATATTGCTAGCGATGTACCATGTCAGGTTGACCTCCACGCGGTTCCCCATGGAAACTATCGTGATAATTCTTGAATTTGTCACGATTGGCTAACAGACCTGACCTCATACTCATCTTATCATCCTCCACTGGTGCCCCGCCAGCGTAAACCGTTAGCGCAGGCGGGTGCACTATTCCATTGTCATCCATCCTAATTGTGAACATCCATAACTGTCGTTTATACTATGTAATATTATATTATCTGTGTCTATACATTACGGGCTTATGTACTACGGACATCACGTTATCATGGCGCATGTGATAAAACTCATGTATTGCCATTTTGAAAATTAAGATGTCATGCCTTTTAGTCTTATCGTGTAATTATTATTAATTAAATTAATTGCCTAATGTTTACGTAATTAATCTACCTAACTTCTATGACAGAAGAAATGGTAAGTGGTAACTGGCTGGCTAAATACCAAGCCACTTCTTTAAGAATTTTGGGAGATGTGAGATATATAGAATAAAGTGGGACCAACAGAAAGATCTGTAATCAAATTAGAATTACAGCTGATTTAAAGCAAAATTGACAGTTCAAAAAATTCATTAAAACTATTTTTCATATGAATTGTATAGTTTTTGGTACCTGATTAGCTATAATGAATTCATCGGGGGGTTCAGTAGCCCATGTGATATCCGCACATAGGGCTATGTGTGCCCACGAAGCCGAATACCGATCCACTTCGAAGCTCATTCAATGTGACATCGCATCCATATAATCAATTGTCTTTATCATAAGATACGAACTAATATATAAATCACTAAATTTCAAGAGAAAAATTAAAGGTAAAACTTTTAATAAAAATGACGACAATTTGAAATACATTGGCGGTTAAATCTACGATTACAAATATTTTCCTCTTTTTTTGATAGGTACCATGATGTTTTTTTTATAATTCAAATCGGTTTTCGAATTTTGCACACTTGATTGACATTGTCATCGCGTTGGCTGAGGAAACGATAGATTTGAGGTTTTATTAATAGAGTTATAGAACTTTAGAGGAAGACTTACAAATATGAATCAAAATGTATGCTCACTCTTAAGACGAACGAAAATGTCGCCTTCATAAGATTTACTATAATAATAATTATATCTACTCGAACCTGGAAACTTCGGATATAGTAGAAAATTGCTTACTTATACATACTAAGAAAATCGTTCATTTAAATAACAGTCCGCAATGAGAAAAACCTGGATCAATAATGACATAAGAAATACACATGATAATAATAAAAAAGAATAATAATTCACACTAATTCAACAAAACCATCTAGTTCCAAGTTAAGTAGAGCTTGCGTTATGCTATCATGAATAATCATATTCATGAATACAAAATCTTTGTACCATGCAATGAATCGCAAGTAAAGCGGTGTGACAAGACCTTTGAGACCGTCAATGATGAATGATGATGGTTAGTTTTATTTTAAATACGATATTATTATTTGATATTCTTGTGTTATATTATAACACTTAACATTTACGGAAATTTAAAATCGTGAAATAGTAGAATATCATACTACTCCCAAAAATATAAAGAAAGATGATATTACAAATAAACAACATACCTATTTTTTCAATAATACAACTATGCCTGTATCTTTAAGTACAAAATTTAATATAAGCCTGGCAACATTTTCATTAGTAGTTTTTAATTTTCATTGTTGGTAATTCTGCTGCTGTCAAGTGTCTGTCAAGTGCAGTCTCTCTGTGCCGTCAACCTACCAACTATGTCAGTTTGACTTGCGCAGGTGTCGTTGTCGGTACGCACCCGTCACGCATGCGCGCGTAGTAGCCCGCAGCTGTGAGGTGGCTGAATGAACATTGACAACTCAGTAAAATTATTTAATTTAGGTTTTATTTTATAAAATAGTAATAAAATTGAACATTTTGTTAATACAAACTTAGGCTTTTATTATTGAATAGTGGTTCTAAGTATTGTTATTGACAGTACCCACTCGGCTGTTGATTGAGAAAATAAATAAAGAAAAAAATCGATTTAATATACGACTGCGTTTTTTATTTGATTTTTCGTGGAGAAAATCAACTATTTCATAGTTTTGCGACAAGTGCCGTAGTGTCCGGTGTTGGTGCTCGGGAAACTGGTTTGTGAACCGTTGGCTTTTTTGTGTTTATGTATATTGTGATGTATCTATAGTTTCGCAAGTGATTGTGCTCCGTTAGTGATGCTGGAAGTGGATGCAAGTGGCTGCCACCGAGTCATCTCCGCATGGTAAGTGGTCTTGTACTTGTGCTTAGTACTTACACAAACAATCATAACAGATTATGCAAGTTCAGTGCGACATTACACCGTCATTCGATACTTTCGCGCGGCCGGATCCAAGTCATGGTGAAATTATTTTATATTCATATAAGTTTCTTTGCCATTCTCATTAATTAATTACGCTTATGCTTCATATTGTAAATATAAAGCGTAGTAGATTTACATAAAAATAATTACTTACAATAATGTAGTCTAATAGCGATATTATAGTAGGTAACTGTAGCTAAATATTTCAGACCTTCGTCTAAACCAAAGCATGATACCACAGTCATCACGGTAGTTACAAGCTGACGTGAAATCAGTTTTTTTTTAACTATTCTAATGCTGTTGGCTGCAGCTGACCTTTATAGTTTCACCGGACGATAAGTAGCGAGTGCAGATGACACTCCAAACCCGCGGAAGTACATACAATTTTGAAAGGACTACAGTCCCGTCTATATTTCACAGGCAGACGGGAGTTGGCCTTCAGCCGCTCCATAAGTCCATCCGCGGGTTTGGAGTGTCATCTCTCACTCGCCCGGTGAAGCTGTAAAGGCCAGCTGCGGGCAACAGCATTAGAGTAGCCCGAAAAAAAAAATTAAGGCAGTTAGATAATAATAATCAGACTTATGGAGAAGCTGAAGTCTAACTCCTGTCTGACGGATATGACTTTAGTCTGTGAGCAACACTATGTGTTCAAAACTTGTTCGCTCGTTTGATTTGAACTGAGTATCGATTGGAAGGAAAGAGAGGTCTGTGTTGTAGTTCGTGTTTAGCCGACGGTTTGTTCATCTTGATTAGGTTGGCCGTCAGCATATTTGCGATAGGAGACGAGTGCAGATGACACTCCGTACCTGCGGAAGGTTGGACTTTAGTCTGTGAGCAACACTTTGTGTTAAAAACTTGGCTCTGACCGTTGTAATTTCGACTCTCGTTTGATTTGGACTGGCGATCGATAGGAAGGAAAGTGAGGTCTGTAGTGCAGTTCGTGTGTTTAGCCGACGGTTCGTACTTCTTGATTAGGTTTAAAATGAATGACCGTTACAGTTACATAAAAATATATATATAATATATATAGTTAATAAACTTTTTAACAAAAAAACAGAGGCATTGTCAACTGTGGTCGTTGTGGTGAACGCAATACATGACATGTCCACATAGCTTGGTTATTTTTTTGTAATACAACGTTGCATGGGGGTAACCCACCGTCGTCTCCCGAAGCAATTTTTGCTTTGTTATCAGTTTTCCCTCACTTGAGAGTCATTCAGAAATGTAAATTGACACACTATTTTTGTTATCGTAATGTTTTAATTTTCTACGCACTAATTAGTCATTGAATTTATTAAATACTGATAAACCAAACGTCACTTTATCCTTAGGTACAATTATAAAGAAGGAAGATTTGATTGTTTGATTACATTGAATAGGCTTCGAAAGTACTGAATCGATTTGAAAAAAAAATCCATTATAATCCAAAACAATATTATATATATATATTGGAAACTCCAACAAAGATAACTATTAAAACCTTTTTGGTAATTTATATTAAATATTCAAACAGAGAACTCTTTTGTTCTCTATTATATTACGATTGTCTTTTGTTTTTGTCTTCATATCTTGTCTCTAGATAATTATATATTTTAATTATTATAAAAATATTAATTTTATTCATAATCTTAGTGCCTTTTCAACTATTTCATCCACGCACCTCGTTCAGATACACATTACGAGTATATATATCGCATACTATATTATTGATAATGGAGCAAACTGGTGTACTACAGTTTTATAGACAATATATAATATAAAAAAGTCTAGAATTCGATGTATAACTATTACTCTAATGTCACAATAACTACTTTTTTCATGTTAAGTTATGCAAACTGTGCCAAATTGTTCGTACCTTAATTAATAATTTTTGAAATTTTGTGGAAACCGTTGCGAACCTGGTACCTGGGCTTTAGATAAAATAATATAAATAGTGACGCAATAATAATAACCCTAAATCATTTAGCATAGTACCTAACTAAAAATTGCAATAATAAATGTAGCTAAATTATTTGTTTTTAATAATAAGTAGAATATTTACGTAAGTAGAGATAGGTACCTCACCTACTTACGTAAATTCTTCTACTTATTTCCGCCAGCTCCTATCTTAAATACAGTGCATGCGAAATTATAACAAACAAACGGACAACCTCGCTTTCACATTGATTACAATACTGCGGTACGTTTCTTATTAAAACTGTGGTTTCAGTAAGTATTGTTACAGTATATACAAAATCATTTAGGAGTCTAGTTTGTCCGTTTCAGTCATTATCTTTAAAACTTGATATGACTTAAGTCCAAGTATTTTCTCAATCTTTTTCGTATTTATACCTCGGTTTGGTCTTTCTTTTCTATTTTTTTCTTTAGTCGCAGCATTTATACAAGTTCATATTTTTCTTTCTTTCTTTCTTTCAACGTGCGCTATCAAGTGCCCTAACATTTTCCTCTGTCCTTTTTCAATAAACGTCTCTAATTTGTTTGTGTGTAAAGAGAAAATCTTTAACCTTTTGCAGAACTACAATTCTTATTAATCTCCAGTTAATATTTTCTATCATTTATCAACTTTATTATAAAACTAGCAGTGCCCATAGTTTCAACCGCGTGCAATTTATAGCTTATGTGTTATTCTGATGTACGAGTATAAACTATATTACTGGAAAGTTTCATCAAAATTCGTCAGTAGTTATGCGCGAAAGAGTAACAAACATCCAGCCATCCATACTAACAAACTTTTGCGTTTATAATATTAATAAGATCGAAGTATTGATAGTGTTTTGTATCTTATACTATTACGTGTATGACACCTAAATAAACGAACGGACGTTAAGTAGAAAAACGGCTTCGTAATGAGATAATAATGTGCATGCTGAATTTTACTGTTACCCAATCTAGTACCACAGATGACTGTTCCAGTTATTAACGTAACCAGTACATTCTAATTATAACAGGTTATTACTTTAATTATATCTGCACTCTAAACAAAGAAGAGACCGATAAAGTACGAAGTTTTGAAACTAAATCATTAATTAATCAAAAGTAGAACAAAAAATATGTGTACTAAATAATATTAGTATATAGCATAATTATGAAATTTTGGAACTACTTAATGTATTTGTTCGTTTTTATACTTTATAAAACTAGAATTAATGGTTGTTATTGATGATTTGTTAATTACTTATGCATTTTTTTGGAAATGAATAAACGTACACAAAATGACAATTGCAATTTATGTCGTTAATGAAATTATTTTGTTTCGTTAATGTTATCCTACACCTACGAGTAAGTCTACGAAACAAAATTACTCTTGATGTTTTTGTTAGATTAAAAATAAAAATATATGGAACTGATTGCCCCTTTAAATTTGGCAAACTGACATTTTTTTTCTTTATTTATAACTATTACATATATACAATTTGTTTTTACAATTATCGCCAAACTGCTTTGCAGTACATGATGTTCTTTGTTATTAGATGGATTTTATTTGGACGTTATACTGTAGTAAATTATTACACTTATATTTATATATTTTTATTATACGATAATAATGTGTCTCTATTAACAGACTCGACAAATATTCTAGCTAACGATACTTTATTCATAACTTAGGCTACATAGAGAAAATTCCGAAACTGTATATCCTTTATTATTATGTTATTAAGGATACTTTTGGAATGATATATTTCCTACGTATTCGTGCGTGATTGAAGTAAATAGTATCTAGGAAGCAGATGTTAAATAAAGTTTTGTAATATTCAACTTTGAGTTCTGCAATCCCCACCCTCCAGGCAACGTCATGCCGCATTTGTGACCTTGGCCCGGCGTCCCGGGGCCTTGCCCCAATTTTGCCAAAAAGATCCCTGGAAAAGCTCCTGCCTTTGTTTCAACTAGTAGACAGTTATTTCAGGCACTTGCATATTTACGTAGATTTTTATATCTGTACTTAGTAAATAATCAGATTAGTATTTTAATATTGTTAAATTTCAAATCAGTTTCAAATCAAGACTTTTTTTTTATAAAATGTTACTTAATGTTTTAATATTATTAACAGAATATTTGTGTATAGAGGTTTGGAAGATTTATTACCTAAACGTTATTAAACATCTATACAACTACAACACAAATATGTCATAACCTACTGCTTACGATAACTATTATCCTTATTGTCTCGGGTAGTATGGGTAGAATCAACAATATATTGTACCAATATTATTATTATTGTTAATTTTTAGTGAATTTATGGCGATCGAATGGAATTCACAAACATTTACACTCATATAATATTAATGTAGAGAGAACGCAGAATTTTTTTTATTATTGTTTAGATTTCTGAATTTTATTTAAGTATGAATTCATTAGTTTATTTGAAATGTCAATACATTCTCCCTAGTTTAATTTAATAATGAATTTGTATTTTTGTAATCACGTACAAGTTCATTTGAAAACAATACGAGCTTCTTGTCAATTATTATTATTGTTAGCTGGAAAGCACTCCGAACTGTCGCTAGATTTGACATATCATAAGAGTCTGTAATAGACCTACATGAATAAAGATATTTTGATTGATTTGAACGAAATACATGTTCCTTGTAAACATGTATATCCCAAGTTTTAAGAAGTACTAGGACAAGATCCTGTAATACAAATTCAATTGTTTCATAAATAATACGCTAAAAAAGTACATGTAAGAGAAAAATGTATGACTTCGTAGAAATGCGATGCTCAGTTTTAAGATACCGGCACCGCCCTTGGCCTGGTTTTGGTCAACACCCCCTTGCTACCCGCCACCTTTTTTTATACGACTGTCGTTATAAATTATGTTTCTGATGATATCTATGGCACGTGTATACGAGATCCATGTTTTTTTATGAGACGGTCATGACTTTGCTTTGAATGAAGGGATAAATTGATGAATAAATAAACTA